TGCAACGAACCAATAATATATTAAGAATGTGAACTATTTGATTGCAACGACAATGGATGAAGTCACAGTGATATTACTGATTCCAAACCTGACAATGATCATCTGTCAATGGTTGGTCAGAACGAATGATCTGATGAAGATCAGTGTCCATCAATTCATAAACAACGTAGACGTCATTGAAAGTCTCTTTTTTGGGTGGTCGTACAATGTCCTTGATAGAAATAACCTGTAAAGGGAATTAGCTGAGATGTAATTCTGAAAGAGTGATATATGTAGTCCAACAGAAAATAAACAGATAAAGGCACATGGAAATGAGTCCTGATATGCAATATGGCAATCAAATTCAGACATGCTGTGTGTAAATCACATTATCTTTTGATAGTGGATAGCCATTAACGATAAACAGAGGAATCGGACTGCTGAAGAACATTCCTCATAGAAAGTCCCGCAAGACAAATAAGATGTTAAACCCATCATACATTCAACATGCTGTAGCCTGTAAGGCATCATCCAGAGTCTTTAGCGATGTAGTACCATATCAGCATGTATTCTGTCTTAGACTTGCTTTCAAGTTGTATAACTCTTAGAAATAAACTTACATTTTCATGGTCCATGTGACGAAGAAGCTTGATTTCTCTTAGTGTCCTTTTGGCATCTATTATATTGTCAAAAGCGTTACCAATCTTCTTAATTGCAACTTCCTCATGGGTGTCTGAATTAACAGCCGCACTGAAAAGCAAGAAGTTGTGTTATTGACTGCTCTGTTAGCCAAAGATTATACTTGTAGAACGAACAACATGGAAAAGCTTTTCGCAGTATTATAAGCGGCCTTCTAGGCTAATCTGCTCTTCACTACACATGATGAGCAGAAGCAATGGCATGAAACCACGCTTACCAACTTCATGAACAGCAAAGAATAGATGCCTAATCCTATTCAACAAACCAGCTTCGTTGTACGTTAGCAGTTAACCGAACTGATTGAAACACGCAACTATCTGAAATTCGGAATAAAATATTCCTCCTCTAATTTGTTTCATGCTAAAGAATGCATAATATTCAATACCAGCACCAATAAAACCTCTAATCCAAGATATCAAATCATTTACACAACAAAGTGGCTCGAATAATAAACCGGTCACACACAAGGTTCCTTACTGTATTTCAAACATTTTTTCTGCATAATAATCCTGAACATCATTCGAACAAAGGAATAGCACTCAAACTTTTCCATAGGCCAAACTCATATTGACAAAGCTACAACCAATTCCTAAGTTTAGCACAACTGTCAAGATTTCAAAAACACGGGCAAGCGACCCACTGTTATGCACACCGATATTGTTCCCCTAACTTGCATGTTACCACCTAAGCACAACAAGGTCCCACACACTCTGGGAGCCCACCGCCGGTCCCCTCCATTTCAAATTTAAACAAAAAGTAATTAGAATCGAACCACTCAACATAAGTAACAAAACATGTTTAATTTTGTTTGTTTTTCGACTTGGGGTTCTTGTATTCTTCGACCAAAAAAAGCCAACCAAACATAAAAAATTAAAGCTTTAAAACGAATCGAAAGTACCCCAGATAGCAAAGAAGCAAAAGATCAGGACTTTTGAAAGCAGAAAGCTCACCAGACAATGCCATAAGCACCTCTCCCAATAGGCCTAATGGGAGGCACGTACTTGCTGGAGACCTCGAACAAGTTCCCAAACACATTGTACTGCGCATATCTACCGCCATGGGTGAGCACCCTTTTGATTTTTCCGTCCGCCGAAGCAGCTGCAGAGCTCGACTCCTTGGCAGCCATTTCCAAACTTCCAACTTCCAAAAAAGTGCTTTTCTCAAATAGGGTTCAAAAACCCCCAAGTGGGTTGCTTGGGGCTTTAATGGCGCTCGTGAATCAGCACAGCCTGGCAGAGAATCAGCTTAGTAGGTAGATTTTTCGGATAACAAATAATGGGTTTTGTGTGAAACTCTTCTGTGAAAGCAATGCAATGCAAAAAGCCACGTGCTTTTGCTTTAACAAGAAGTGCTTTTGGTGATCGTGAGGATGGTTTGCAAAATCCGTGACTTTTGAATGGGACTTTTCTTCCAAAATTTTGAACACGAAAATTGGGAAAAGTGAGATTAAAGTAAAGTAAAACCGGGTCTTCGTTACACACATGATGCATACATCTTCAAGCACACGCATCTATTACTTTTGACCCCAACAATTTCCGAAGCTAGATGGACCACCTGACACGACTGAGTGCTTACGACACGTCGTATTTGGGCCAAGACCACCTGGTCATACAATGGTGAAAAGATCCTAACGCTTCGAATTCCGAAATATAGGATATGCTGGAGAACAATTGACTTTTCTCATGTTATGAACCTTTCACAATGAAATTACAAAAGAAAAAAAAAAGAATCGTCAACTTTTGTCTTTATCTAGCCTACTATTACTTATTGTTCTAAACATCCCCGTCTAACACCGTTTAGACCCCGTCTAGGCGCTAGGCGGCCGGCCATAACCCGATTGGTTTATAGGCATTTGAAAATTGAGAAAATGCGCGTAGACCTGCTTAGGGGTTCGTTTAGCCTGCATAAACCCGTCTAGGCACCTACCTAGGTCTCGACTCTCACTTAGACAGAAAATCAATAACTTTCCTTTTGCATTTTATTTTGTCAATATAATGCAAGAGGTTTGTTAGATATTTGGATAAACACTCATTATATATGGTTGTCCCCATGTTTTCAAATTTGAACCATCTTTAGGTGCTTTTTTAAGTATAAATAGACATTTATTTATACAACATTAACATATATAAATTTACTTAAATCCACCTAGGCCCTAGGCCTCAGTCCGCTACCCAACTAGTGTCTAGCGTCTTTTAAAACCTTGCTATTACCCATTTCTCTACTACATTTACCAGTAGGTTACCTCAATGACTTAATACTGGTGTCTAATAGTATTTTTTTACTTATATCTTATATTTAATTTCCATAAATCCAAAGGAGTGAGAAAATAAAGGATGGTCAAAGAGTATGAAATTCAGAGTTTCATTCCAAGTCGTCATGTTTTATGAAAATTGGTCAAGGAAAAAACTTTGGGACACTGAGTCCTTTCTTTAGCCTCACTTTCTCTCACAAAAACACACAAGCCCCCTGTTTTTTCGAGTTAATTTGGCTCTGCTCTTGTCATGTCAACGTAACAGCTTCTTATTAAAAATTAGTCCTCAAACCAAACTAGCATTGTTATTCACTTAAAATAACCAAATGGGCCCTTATTTCTTAGACTTGGGAATAATTGGACTCATCATGTTCATATCTAACAGCTCCGAAGAAGTGGTATGCATTTTCACATTCATATCTTTCCAAATTTTAATAGTTGCTCAGAGTAGAGAACCTTTGAATATTTCTAGGGCCAAATATCACTCCCACTCCAATTTACCAACTTTGAAGATGATTGGTTTTCTAGTCCCACTCAAACTTTATATACTCATCCAACCACCTATGATACTTGCATTCGCGCACTGGGCGTACCTCTTCTGTGTGTCTTTTTCATGGTGGAAACAGGACAACAAGGAAATACGACTTGCCAAGGCTTGAGGGCGAGCTGGGTTTTTTTTTTTTTTTTATTTATTTATTAACTGCAATATTTTGACAAAACTTTCTTTACATACATCGACAAGAATAATCTTGGAGGTTACTGTCACTACTACTCTGATGATGCATTGAACTCACAGATAAAAGATTTTGCTGAACTGTCACAGTTTTTTCATGTATTTGAATTTTGATTCATGTATATGAATAAAAATTGACAATTCTTCATGAAGATACTACTTGTTATCATAATTTTAGGTTTGTTCGATACAATGAATGACTAATGATCTCTAAATTGAATGAATTATCTTACCGTGAATCTTTAAATGATGATAAAAAGAACGAACAATTCTGATTAAAAAGTTTTTGGTCGAGAACAGAACAAAAGGATTGTGTCAAGTTTTACGAGGCTTTCTCTAAGAATCTCAAGTCGGGAATCCATAAGGACAGCCGGAAGGATTATGTCACCAGGATGGGGGAGAGCCAAAAGGACATTTACTACATCATCGGTGAGAGCAGGAAGGCAGTGGAGGAGTATGATGGGAAGAAGCTCGTGTCCGCAACCAAGGAAGGGATTAAGCTCGAGGATGAATTGGAGGAAGAGAAGCAGAAAAAGGAGAAGAAACAGTAGTTCGAGAACATGTCAAGACGATCAAGGACATTCTAGGGGAGAGAACAGAGAAGGTGGTGTCTGACAGAATCGTGGACTCGCCTTGCTGCTTGCTGACCGCCATGAGCGGTTACGTGGCCAGCAAGAAGATTATGGAGATTAACCCTGACCACGGCATAGTGAAGGAGCCAAGGAAGAGTGCGGACGCGGATTAGAACGACAAATCACTGAAAGGACCATGTGCTGCTGCTCTATGACACTGGTCTTCTGTCCTCTGGTTTCAGCCTTGATGACCCCAACAACTTTGCCGGGAGAATTCACTCGATGCTGAAATTGAGCCTGGACATTGATGAGGATGATGCCGCACGTCGAAAGAGAATAAGATTGAGGAGAGTCGGATGCAGGAAGTCGACTGAGCTTCATTAAACTTACACGCTTGTAATAATCTTAAGTCTAAAACAGTACTAGTGTTTTTATACATGTTTCTTGTAGGGCACGCATAAAGATCTTCCGCGGATCTGTCTAATGTTAATTCAGTATCCAAATTTTGTAATATTTTGTTTCCAATGCTTACTAATGATCTTTTGTTAACGAGACACCATCTAACGAGTAGATATGAACATATATAACATTCCGAGTACATATGATCATATATAACATTTCCAACTCTTAGTTGTATATCTGACTGTTAGACGGTGAATATATTGAGTACATGTAGCAAAGTCCAAAAGATCAAATTTCTCAAAGTACGAACTATGTAGTTAAGGTGGAGCCAGCATTGACAGATGCAGCTAAAAGTTACCAAACATTCAGAGAGAAAATGATCCAAGGCTTATATAGATAGATAATGAACCGAAAACAATTTTCCAAAGTGCGATTCAAAGACCGAGTATTATAAAGTTAACATCTAATACAATCCCTCGACTATTTCAAACCTTAACGATTTAACAAAACTGCTACAATCTCCTAATATAGAATATGCCATCTTGTTCTCAAAATCCAACTTCAGGAAACCAAGCACTGATCAAATAACAACCCCCTCAAGAAAGGTTAGAGCTGCTAGCTGGGCCTGCACCAAAACCACCAGCTCCACGACCGAAGCCAGGCCTTCCACCAGGGCCCTGCGATACAGAAGCAATAAGCAAAGATAAATTTAAAGGTTTTCAGACGATGCGCAGCAATATATACAAAGACATGGCAAGTAAGAAGAAAGGAAGATGAGTCAAAGTCCAAAAGAGAACAATTACAGCTCGTCCTATGAGTCAGTTTCAAGCTAGAATAGCATCATATTCCAAAAGTGAGTAAATATTGTACTCACGCAACACAAATAGGCAGTAAAAATTTAAGTTTATGAAGGCATCAGTAAAAAGCTCCATGGCTGTCGATAATAAACTATCAAAATTTCCAAAAATAGTGAGCCAAAGAAAGCCGATTGCTTTCCTACCTTACAAACAATAAAATATTAGAAATTATTGGCAACAGAAAAATTACCCCAAAAGAAGGCTTGAAATCAGCAGGAGCTCCACCCTTATCACCAAAGTCACCACCAGGTGCACGGGGTCCTCCACGGTACCCATCCCTATCACCACCGAATCTACGTTCTCCATCAAAGCGAGATGGGCCACTGTAAAGATAATCAACAATCCAAATTATAACCAAAGCGACTTCAATCATGTCAAAATAAATTCGCACAACAGGAAAATGTTGCGAATCAGACAAAGCAATTTCTTCCTGCATGACCAACATTATATCTACCAAAAAACTTATTGGTAAAACCAAAATAAAAAAAGATCAACAGATTTAACAAACATTTCAATAATCCATTCTGCCCGAAATAAGTTACAATTACTCCAACCCTTACTGCAGATTTTTGCAGAACTCAGAAAGCAAAACAATTTTAGTCAAAAGGTATCAAATTTAATCAATCAAACAAGCTTCCTACACAAAATACATGTACATAACAACTTATCAGCCACGTAAACGAACATTTAAGAACTAAAATGAAAACAACATACAACCCCTTCAAATACAATATCCCAAGACAATCAGACCCAATTTGGAAATCAACAAATGCAATCAAAAATAAAGAACAGGAAACAAATTGATTACCGTGGGCGGTCACCAGACAGCCCCATTGGGCGGCCAGCAGGCTTGGCCTGCTTCTTCAAAGTTGCAGGTACAATCTCAGAAGGGAGATTGAGGTAGGTCCTCAAAAACTCGATACCGTCATTGGTAAGGTACCAGTAGTAATGCATCCAAGCAAAAGTTTCTCTCACATACTCCTTCGACTTAAGGCTCTGCATCAGCTTAATCACCTGCAGGTTCGGCACATCGATATCCGGGTGCTTTGCCAAGTTATAGTCCTTCTTTGCATAACAAACTCCCTCTGCCCAAATTATATTTAACGAAATTCAACAAAAAAATTGAAAAAACTAATCTTTGCAATTTGCATAGCTTTAAACAGAAATATCCCTCTGCTCAAATTAAATTCAACAAAATTAAACAAAAAATTGAAAAAAAAATTAACAACTCTAATTAGAAAAGTTAACAAAAATCTAATCTTTTTGGGTACCTTGAAAGAGGTACTTGGAGATCTCACGACGGTTCTTCTCTGAAATGATCTACGATAGAAAAATAACAGAACCAAACGAACAAATCAGAGAAATAAACAGTTAAACATGTTCTTTTCCTACCATTTCAGTTTCTCAGGAACCAAACAGAGGATAAGATAAATTTGGTTGAGAAAATACCATGGTTGCGGATGAGCTAACGACGGCAAAAGGGGGACACGGCAGCGAAGGTCTGGGTGCTCTGGTACTCTTATCGTCTGCTCTGCTGTGTGGAGTAAAACCTAAAACTCTGATGTGTCCGATACGTAGTGGGTTTTTCGGTAGCAAGATATGGGCCTTGATATCTAGTGCCCTAGTGGGCTTAAGAATCTTACGTTCTTGCTACTTACTCATGGGCTTGCTTAGTTTCTGTTATATTATGTCTGGCCCTGAGAAAATATGTACACACTTTACTTTTCATTTTTCTACGTTCTCTCTCTTTTACCCTGCTCTTCCGACCTGACTATATGACTCATCATTGTAGTACGGTTGAAAATTAAAAGATGTGTGTGAAAAATAAAAAAGTATGTGTGAATACTGAATAGCACGATCTTAAAAGAAAACTCTATGCCGAAATATTGAAATCACATAAAATTCATATATGATTTATATGTGTATATACACTTTTGAGTGATTAAGGAATCATCGGCCGGTGTCATGTCAGTGAGACATATAGCATCAATTCCTATTCTCCTTAGACCAACTCCAACCATGACTTATAACCTAAAATTCCCCTCTCCCCCCCCCCCCCCAAAAACCCACTCCAACCCATAACCTAAAATAAACCTAAAACCTAAAATCCAAATGAAGGTCAAATTCCGGCCCAATTTTAGGCCACAAAGTAAAATGGGGCCCACTGTCTGAGACTAAAACCAGGGCTGTGAAGCCCACTTGCCATCTGCCACGCCCAGCACGCGCAGCACATGCAGGGTTCAAACTGCATTCAATCGAGGTGGACCCCACCCACGTGGGTGTGTCCCCCGGTTTGTCAGCCTTGTCATGTAGCCAACGGCTACTTTTCTTCATCATGTGGTTGTGTTAATTGGGCCGTTGGTTAATCCAACGGTCTAGGTTCAATTTTTTGTTTTGTTTTATATTTATATATTTATTGAATCCAACAGCTTACATCGAATATAATCAAATCTAACGGTAAAAAAAAAAGATCTAACGGTCCAAATTTAAATCCAACGGCTAGAATAATTTAAAAAAAAATATTTAACTTAAAATCAACCAAAAACTCTATAGATACCTATGTATTTGTTCAACATCCACACAAAACTCATTTTTCTCTTACAATTCTTCCAATTTTTCTTTCTACCATTTCTTCTCATTTCCAAAATTTTCAAGATAGCAAAAAAGCATGTTAGAGGTCGTAATTAGACATTTGATGAAGATATTGCTTTATGTTTGGCATGGATTTCTGTTAGTGAAGATGGTGCCGTCGGCACCAATCAAAATAGAAAGGATTTGTGGGGTAAAATCGTTGATAAGTTCCATGAAAACTCCAACGCCAATCAAAGGGAAGTTGATGGTGTTTATGATCGGTGGAAGATTATCAACAAAGTGTGCACTTTGTGGAAGGGAAGCTTGGAGAGAGCCATGGTTGTCATGCCTAGTGGAAGGGGCGCCTCAGAAATTGCGAATTTCTTTGTTGATATTTTACTTGTCATGTACATAATAGTATTTTGCAACTAATTATTTTTATGTAATTGTTGCATAGGGTGACAAAGCAATGACAATTTACAAGACAAGAACTACACCAAAAAATCAAGCTTTAAAGTTGCATCATGCTTGGAACATCCTCAAGGATTGTCCGAGGTGGGGAACCGATGCAAATCAACAATGTCGAAGATTATTTCATAATGAAGCCCCACCCCCAAATGATGTCAATAAAGGTGTGAATTTTGCCAACAATGAACGTATCGACCAAATGAGCCCAACTTCTTCTTTGCCAAGGCCCTCGGGTAGAGATAAGCAAAAGGAAGCAAAGAGAAAAGGGAAGTCCCAAGATCCGATACGTGCACAATTTGCTAGCAAAATGGCAAGAATGAACGAAAACCAGTGTCGTCGGCAAGAAGAATCGGCCCAAATGTTTTTAGCCATGAAGCAAGAAGGGGATAGAGAGTAAGCAAGGTACGAAACTAATTTGATAATGGAGGACCTCGACAAATACACTCCAGAGAGGAAGAGATACTTACGTGGTAAGCAAAAAGAAATTTTATGAAGGAATGCCACAAAGAGTATATTTTAAGATGATGATTCATCTCAAGACTATCACCCAAGTCCACCACCAAGTCAAGATGGTGGATATCATTATTAAGTTTATGTAGTCTATGAGTTTTCGATTGTATTAAGTTTATGTGGTTTATTAATTGTCTTTTTTTTTAAGTTTATGTGGTTTATCATGATTTTCATGTATTGATTGAGTGATTTTTCAAAATTTATCGGAAAATATTTTTAGATTAAAATGTTCATAAAATTAATTTAGGATAGTCTACAGAAAATTTTTTTAAAAGTTAATTTAAAAAATAGCCTTAATTCATTTTTTGATAATTTGGGACTAAAATTTTAGGCCAAAAGAGTTGGAGTAGAAAAGCTGTTTCTGAGCTAAAACCTAAATTTTATGGGCTAAATATTTTTAGGTTTTAGGTCATGGTTGGAGATGGTCTTAGTGGCCGACCATTTGTACAATGTCCATCTATGATTCTTTTTGTTTTGGGTCGAAACATCTATGATTCTATATATCAATTCTCAAGAACTGGACTTAACTTTTTCTTTCTTTCCATGGCCATCTAACTTTTAAATTTGAGTAGGATGGATAACGGTTATGGCAGACGAGTAACCGCGGTTATTTATCTATAATCATTTATGTTCATACTCGCATAACCGTTTATCCGTTGAGTAATTGCATAAACGGTTATACACATACCCATAACCGTATATAAACGGTTAACCATATCCATAATCGTGTACATATTTAACCATAACAGTTTACCCATTTAACCATAATTATTTACCCGTTTTTGAACCCATTTATCATTTTTTTACCCATTTACCCGGTTAACTTTCTTTCTTTCCATAGGCTCCATACAGTAACTTTTAAATTGACATTTATTTGGTTTTTGAACCCATGTTTTCACCGGTTTTACCGCAGCCTTATCCCTTTTCCCCTGTTTATGTTTTTTTTTTTGTCAGACACAATTAAGTGCGGACCAGTTCGATTTTCTAAAGAACCATGATTTCAGTCCCATTACATTTTTTTCTCAAATAGCCTATGAAATATTTTTGAGTTACGCTCAATTTGTTTGTTAATTAAATTTACATATATTAATTAGCTGGGTTAGACAGATACATGTTATAACCGCAGATGTTATACTCATAAGTTTGAAAGATATTTTCATGATGCCCGCCTATAACCAGCGGGAAGAATACCCATATCCGTAGTCGTTTAAATAAGTTTTTCGTTTAATAAATTAGGTTAATACCCTATAAACGTTTGTTCTGTTTTAAACGGTATACCCATAACCGTAACCGTGGAACGGTTATAAAATAGTTAGTTCGTTTTACACAAACCCATAACCAACGTGAACTTTGAATAGTCTCTAACCGTGGTTACCCAAACAAGGTAGGTTGCCTCTGAATTTGTGCGAAACAAGGATACTTGATTTAATTAATTGATTAATCATATTAATTTCAAACCTCGAATCAGTTAAGTTACTCTTATGCTCTATAAATGGTCAAATCATGTTTTCAGTTCATGCAGTTTGCAATTTTATACGTAGATATGATCAATGATGAATTCAAGACTCTAACTTCGTAGGTCCTATTGTAAAAGATTCTAAGCGTATAGTGTTAAAAAAAATCAATTTTTTTATTTAGGCATTTAGTTGAGTATTTAGTGGAGTTATTGTTGACCCTAAAAACTACCTAACCTACGTGGCGCGCATGCCGATTAATTAATAAGCTAACTACATCTTTCGGTCGAATGCGGGGCGTGCCAACTCGTCCGCCGACTTCGGCCAGGAAGTAAAATGAATGTTGATGTGGCATTAGAAGCCTTGCTGACTTCTGCGTCTTGCGATTGCGGCCAAGAAAGGAATGTTCAACTTGTCTTCTGAAACAAGGTTGCTAGTTCTTAAAGTTCACGAATGTACGCGAGTTTAGCCTCAAATTTCATGTTGTGAGCATAAGTATGAGTAGAATTACGGCTACTCAGTAATTTATTGTGAGATAAAAGATGCCAAAAGGGAATGCCAAAACTCATTGTAAATATCCAATTCGGCGTCAATGTGAACTTTAACCTGGTCACTTTCATCTGGTATCTTCTACCTTCGAAATCTCTTGTTGGGAGACTTGGATAGGTAATCAGTGAGTGTGTTGTTTATCCAAATTGAAGGTCCTTATCGGTCGGCTGATTCTACTGTTCCAGTGTTGTTTATCCAAACTTAAGATGTTACTGGTTGCCTCCATAGTGTTGTTTATCCAGATTGAAGATGTGTTGGCGGAAAAAAGAAAATAAAAATCTCAAGGTATTTGAGAGGTTTGCACAGGGTAGTTGTGTGTTGAATCAGATGGCTTTTAATTGCTTCTATCTCTTTTATCAGTAACTTGATTCTTCACTCCAATTTTTTAGGTTCTACCAATCTTAACCCTAACCCCTTATAGACTCTAAACTAAGCTCTTTAATCACTTAGATTCATCCCTTGATTTTCAGCATCTTTTCTTACTCAAAGCATCTTTAATTTTTTAGAATCCTTATTGTACTGGGATTTGATCACCTAACCCATTCAAATAAAACCATCTCTTGATAGGATTCAGCCAAACTCCACTGGGCTCGGCCCATAACAGAATATTTTTAGTATCCATTTTTGAACCGAGAATAACTCTAGGCTTAGCCTAAAGCGTTATTTTGGGCCTAAACGTTACCCCCTTGCTTCTGAGGTCTTCAGCCTACATTGACTGGCTGAACTTTGGCCTTGAAGAAGCGATCCATTGTTAACTGAGAAATAAACCCTCGGCCTACACTGTGTGGTCGATCAAAAGATCCTTGCAAAAAATGAATATTCTCTATCCACTCAAATGCATTATTACGCACGATCTTGCACTGTATGCCAATCCTTGAGAATTGTAAATGTTTGACACACGGTGTCTTCTCATTGCGACTGTCTGGATTCAATAACACACGTGCCTCACGTCCGAGGTGCATAGGCGTCGAAAGATCTCTTCATAATGATTGTGCCTTAAAGTTTACCGTCACACGCAATTGTGCAACCTCAATTTGCATGCTTTTTGGCCTTTTTGCCTGGATTTTTAAATTTATGTAATGATTGCAAAATA